ATTCAACCTGTCTCAGGGATGAGGTGACACGAGCTCTGACTCCACAGGGTTATTATGAACACTTGGGTACCTCTCGGCCAGACGTCCTCACCACAGTTTGCCCCCAGACTGGACAAAACGAGTCCAGTCGAATAAATAATCAACAGTGAATACGATAAGACAAGATTTCGTTTATAAATGCCACAATGAACTCCAATTAGACAAAACTCTCCTAAGAACTAGAAGGCGAATGAACTCGAAATTCAATGTAATAAGTTCCCTGTAACCAAGCTGAAGAAAAATAACTTGAAGAATTAACTGAAAGAATATTGAATACTTCCAAGAACAAAGTTAGTGTGAGAGTCTTCCTCCTACTCTACGTTTCTGTCCAGTATCATCATGGCTGAGGAATCTGATGGATTGGAAAGGTCCACTTAGATTTAAGCCGTCATACAGTGCTACTCTGACTTATCTGTTTAGATCTTATATCTCCTCTGGATGCTGGAGCGAAGTTTCCGAGTGCCGTACTTTACGATAGGACTTCTCAGAAACGAGGCTGCTTCTCTGGATGCCGGAATAGATCATCACGTCACCAGACTTCCCATCATTATTTCACCCACAGGAACAGTTTCTGGCGTTGATCGAGGACAATCACCTTGAGCTCGGAAGATGACGACTCCAGTATCGTCCACACGTTCAGGACCCCCAATTCACCACATGTAAATTGCTTAATGGGTAGTGGCAGAAGGAACCAGTCTACAAGACACTGACACTTGTTGGATCTTCATAACCCATTGTAAACAAAAAAGAGAACAAGGAATCTTGTCTGTATAACGGTCAATTGGCGAGACACAAGGAAAAACGCCTGCCTCCAAGACCGGACTGTAGATAAGTGACGCACACAAATACGTCCCCTAACAACAGCAGTTAGCGTACGAATTGCGCTCACTAATGCAGTGCAGTGGTCAGACAATTTATTTAGAATAGGCGTAGAAAATGCGTCCTAACATTTAATTCGACACTCAAAGCCTAAAAGAGTCATTATCAAAGGGTTTTATATGGATTTTTCCTATCAGGACTCCCCCACAACAAACGAACTATCTAACTATGCTTGGCCTATTCTATTACATAGTTACGATGACGAGTTTAGGGTGGTCAGCTATATGGACCTTCCTGCTGTGGCAGATGTGTGGATGCTGTCATGCGACAACACACACACACACACACACACACACACACACGATTGTCCTTTCTGGGATTTCGGCCCGAACGATTGACAACCACTGACTCTAACAGACCACTATTTGAATGCGAATCCAACGAGTGCATATCCATAATTCTCCCATTTAAATATAATATTAAAAAGTATATTGGGGGTCCTTACGGTTACAAGTAAACTGTTGTCTAGTTGAGAAAAAAATTGGGCGGGGAAAAAAAAGGGGGGGGGGGGTAAGGTGCGGGAGTTGGTCATTTCCACTCTGTGGAGAGTCCATATTTTTTGGAACATGTTATGACTACTGGAAAGACCTGTGAAAAGGGATAGAGGAAGACAACGAGAGAAGATTCTTGACAGTCTTGTTGTATGGCTCGGAGGTATGTCGGCACACGAACTGATACATGCTGCAGGAGATCGCGGATTGTGAAGAGAGCATGATCGCCCACGCCAGTCGGCAGGGCAACCGATGATGACATCATTGGAGTAACAATTCTCGTTCCGCTCAGTTTGTTACAAAGCTTCATATTGTTATGCTCGCCCCTACTGGAAACTTAAAACTGAAACAGCAGTTTACAATATTGATTTAAAAAAAAATTATAAAACGTACAATCGGTACCAAAAGTAGTTTTGTTCTGCAAGGTCTAGTAGTACAAAGTTTGTCCTAAAATACCAACTTCGGCAGCACTGGTGCGGAGTTGTAGTTCTAGTTTTGATCATCATTGTAAACAAGCACCTGGCAAACGGCAAGCGACCTGCCATAACATGACAACTGTCGTCTGCTGCTCGCCTGTGATGGCCACGGAGACGTGATATCACACATATCGTCAGTTGACACACTACTGGCGCGGCTGCATCGTAAACTTCACACAGGTAAATAAGCTCAGTAAAAGTGATTGTTGAGTAACATGTCACGGGTAGCTTCGTACTAGTGTGGTTAATATTTAAACTTTAAATATTAAATTAAATTAAAGAAATTCAAATAATTTAAATTAGTGATTTTAGCTCAATTCGTTGTAACCGTTGTTTTCTTTTGTTTTCTGTCTGTTTTCAAAGTCAGATAAGTATCTAGTATCTGATAACAAACATGAAATCGTAAATTGCTTTGACTACAACTTGGATGGGGGTTTGCTTTACCGTACAGGAAGAGACCTTTATGTATAAGTAGGTACTTTAATCCAATTTTCAGAACTTGTTTGTGTGTGTGTGTGGATAGGTATTGAAGAAATGGGCTCTCCTTTGAATCAACCCCCATAATGGCGGCTTTAATATGATGGCGTTCGAAAGAGAGCTAAATTGGCCTATTTCTTGCCATAAAATATCCAAAAATATCCGAATGCGGGTCAGTTCTATGAAAAATATTTGTGCCGGTTCCGGATAACGAAACAAATGCTCTGACAGGGTCTTAGCGATACGTTACTTGCCGACTTGCTTCTGCGAGTGTGCCTCACCGCCAAGCGTAACCCCCGCGCCGTTACGCGCGGCGCGGATGGGGACTAAACTAGATGGCTGGGACTCACGAGCGGCAGCTATCGCATCTCCTGCAACTTCCTTCAATTACTGTACTCGTGAGTTCCAGGCACCTAGTTTAGGCCCCATCCGCGGGGGAATACGCTCGGCGATGAGTTTAATCGCATTTGGCACATGCCGACAAGTCTGACATCTACCGCTGCTAAATCCTCCCATCGGAAGAACACAGTGTTGCTAATCGGCTTTCATCGTCTGTAATGTCTCGAAATTGGTCAATGGTCGCTAATATTGTCTGCTTGTATCGTCTGCAGAAATGCTCGAAATTGTTGTCAACGGTCGGTATTTATCGTCTGCTACTACTGTGTGCAAATGTTGATATTGATTGTCAAGTAATCCTAGTTTTGCCGCGATTTGTTCCTTGGCAGAAAGTCCGTATTTTAGATTACGCGAACACCGTCGTTCGGATATTTTATGGCCAGAATGTGGCATGCCGCCATTTTGGGGGTTGATTCAAAGGAGAGCCAAGAAATGCAATCCAACAGTACCTCATCCCAGTCTGTACGTCAGTTCTGTGCCGAGATATTAATTTTTTATAAAGTAAATTATATAAATTATAGGAACAAAGAGGAAAATACTTATAGCACATTCAGATTGTGTCCAAATACTTAATAATCTGTAACTTGTTTATTTGTGACCAAACATCATAGCAGTCATATATCACTGTATTAGGGGCAGTGACACCCAACAGAATAAATAAAAAAAATTGTTTAAACATATTCTGTCAAGTATGTAATCACATTAATGTTCACAATTTCTATACAATTAGAGGCAGGCAATAATAACTATATACTGTTTGTGGGTATATAATGGAGGTTTTAGGTCACATTGCTGCTTAAATATTTATCAGACAAAGTTCAATAATCAGAAAAATTAATGATTCAAAATGGCCAAAATTATTTTCTGATACAGAAATAAAAAACTGAACAAATAATATGAAGGTATTTAATTTGTGCTGGCTGATAAGTGGACGAATTGGTCTCAATGCTGCAGTGTTATTACCGACTGGACCTAGAAAAGCATTTCATCAGATGAGATTAATCCAGGCTGAAATCAGACTGAAAGGCACAAATATCACAGATTCACGATGCGCTAACCATCTTTTTACAAACGCAGAAAAAATTTGCGAAGTATACATTCTTTCTAAAATACATATGTTATGTGCATATATAAGTTGACATCTGTATTTATAGATACATTGAACACAAAAGGCGCCAGACTCAGTTTTGTAAAAGGTTCCCTTTAACTTAACCGAATGTTCTTTAAAAATAGTGTTTTCAAATTTCATATTACTTCAAGTAAATCATTATTTGGCTATCCTCCGAACTTCGTCCCCATAACAAATAGCCTAACAGGGCCTCAATCGTATGTTAAATGCAGACTTCCTCTGACGAACACATCGCGGCAAAACTATGAGTACTGTCCGTTGACAATTTTGAGAAACGCAACAATACACACGATAATGGCGACATGGCGGGGAGACCACGCGCTCAGGTTAGCGATATAGTTCTTCTGATTAAACTCACTGCCGAGCGTATCCCCCGCGCCGCGCGGATGGGGGGATAAACTAGATGGCTGGGACTCACGAGCAGCAGCTACCGCATCTCCTGCAACTTCCTCCAATTTATTTGCACATGAGTCTCAGCTATGAGACATGAGTCTCAGCTCCCCATCTGTGCACGGCGCCGGGAATACTGTTGGCGGTGTGGTATATTCGCAAAAACAGGTCCGCAATTAACATACCGCTGAGACCCTCGATAATATTGGCCCGTTATTTGGAGGCAATCCTAGTTTTGCCGCAATTTGTTCCTCAGCAGGCGGTCTGCATTTTAAACATGACTGAGGCCCTGTTAGGATATTTGTTTGGCCACCATAATATGGAGAGGAAGTTCGGAGGAGAGCCCATTATTTATTTACTATTCAGAGCTAAATATTTTGACCGAAGTCTTGATCAACAAATAACAACACAACAAGAACTATAAACGACAGCCACAAATTAGATCATCAATTTATGGAAAGAAATAGAATGTCCTGTTTTTTTGTGTGTTCATATATTTTTTCTTCTTTGATCTTTCAAGTCATGGTTTATTTTAGTTCATGTCTTGATATCAGTGTGACTGCAGTCATATCTATGTTTAACACTACTGTAAACTTTGTTAACTACGGACTAAACAGCATTGGCTAGCAACTGTCTTATATTTCATGCTTACATTTCTTCAATCAGATTAAAATTTTTGCGGACAGAGAGATCAACCTTGTTCATGTTGAATGTCTGCCAGCCATGAGACTGTTCACTACATTTCGCACGGTCAGGTTGCGGGTGCTATGCATACAACTTGCCATATTAATCTATCTGTCACTGATTGCCTTTGCTGTTTTCAACTACTGCAACCACTGTGCTGTGACTCTGCCCAGCAGCTTAGTGGACAAGAGTAAGATGGGCACTGCAGCCCAGAATTTATGTGAGCTGAACTTCCAGGAATTGGGTACGTGTCATGATCATTATTTTATATTTCATTGACAGAGTAGGTTTGGTGTCCTGCTTGTTAACTCTGTCACCACTGTAAATGGGAAGAAGCATGGACAGAGCTGATATCATCACTGTCGGACTAGTTTGGGAGATAATATTGAATCTCTGACGCTAACACAATTGCATGACCAAAAAGTTAGGCTTAGTGAAGCACGTCTTTGCAATCTTCAAATTAAAGACGGAAGATACTATAACCAACTTCTAATGGGAACAATCAGTATAGGTACCTTGGAGTGTCTACTGCATCGGAGGATTGAGCACACACAGGAATGCCCAGTATGCAAAGACTTTGATCGGGACAACATATATAACGTCTCAGCCACAGGCAGTCATTACTGTAACTCTTTCTACCCCATAAAGTTGTTGACCTTTGAGTCTGCAGTAGTTTTTATAATGTCTTTGGAACAGTAGGAGTTAAATTAAGTGCTCCTTTTGAAGCAGTTAGTTTAAGAACTGCATAAGACAAAAATTCTCATCCTCATAAAACAGGTCCTTTGCGGAACACTGCTGCCATCACGGTCAGCCTGAATGCAGAACATTGCTGCCATCACGGTCAGCCTGAATGCAGAACATTGCTGCCATCACGGTCTGCCTGAATGCAGAACACTGCTGCCATCACGGTCTGCCTGAATGCAGAACATTGCTGCCATCACGGTCTGCCTGAATGCAGAACATTGCTGCCATCACGGTCTGCCTGAATGCAGAACACTGCTGCCATCACGGTCTGCCTGAATGCAGAACATTGCTGCCATCACGGTCTGCCTGAATGCAGAACACTGCTGCCATCACGGTCTGCCTGAATGCAGAACATTGCTGCCATCACGGTCTGCCTGAATGCAGAACACTGCTGCCATCACGGTCAGCCTGAATGCAGAACATTGCTGCCATCACGGTCTGCCTGAATGCAGAACATTGCTGCCATCACGGTCTGCCTGAATGCAGAACATTGCTGCCATCACGGTCTGCCTGAAAGAAACTTGGTCTCTCACCTGCTCTCCCACTTTATGCACTTTCATATTGAAGTAGTCATTTATGTCCTGTACCCATGTTTGTGTTGGTTGGCTCCTGCCCCTCCTTCCTGGGACCATGCCTTCTGGAAGACAAAAAAAGTGATGAATAATATACAATGTTCTTCCTTTGATAAAATTTGCCAGTGATGAACATTTTGTTTTCCTTTCCAGCTCTTTGTTTCGGCAACATATTCACAGGATTTTCCTTAGATATTTAATCTAAACTGTGTTACCAGGAAGTAAATAACAGCAAAATACATACATATCACTGGTCACCAAGGGTTGGTATAGAACTGACAATTTCACTCCATTAACAACTAGCTGCAATATTCGACCAGTATTTTATGCAATGTGTCTTTGTTAATTGAGGCAAGAGCGAGAATTCTCAAGAGAATCAACCCTATCCTGATATATGAAATTAAGTCATGTACAGTTGGTCGATTAGTGAGAAACTGTGGAAATGGCTAAGATATGGTTTTATAGATGAATGATGACCGGACAGATAAAAGGAGTTAATGATGTCTTGTAAGGAATTGACTCATGAAGAGAACTGATTGCCAACCTCAGAAGAAATGAATCTATATTCTTTGAAATGTCATGAAAACAGGAAAACAGTGCATTGTGACATTGAGAAAGTTGGCGGGAACAAAAAGACAGAGGGAGATAGAGAGAGGATGGTGGCAAGATTGGCGTCATGGTATGGCAAATCATTTGTGTCAGAATTGATTGAAAGTACACGAGACAGAATGTTTTGGAGAGACATGACTACCAGTGCCACATGGCATAGACTAGAAGAAGAAGAAGACAAATATTCAGCCAGGACTTTTACTGCTTTGGGACTTAAAAAGCAGAAGACCCTGCACCCTGCCAATGAAAACTAGTAGCTCTTATATATGTTTATCCTTAAAATCTAGAAAGTGAAAAAAAAAAAAAAAAATTGGCAAAATATTGCATTTTTTTCCTTTTTTTTCAAAAGTAAAGACATTTATAAAAAACTTCTTAATACAGTGGCTGCTTGAATCAATAGTAGGCAGTCCACATGCATTGAACATGTCATGAGGAGGGTAAAAAGTGCAATTCTGGCATCAGTAAAGCTAGAGGAAAAGAGAAGCAGCAAGAGTCATAAAAAAAGAGGATGCCTGATGGCCAGGAGAAACAGTTGTATTTGGACTCAGTTGTTATGTTGTATACACACATGATTAGTGGTGTCCGTGGCTAAGGCGTTGCGAGCCCGACTCGTAATCCAACGTACCGCGATCAAAACCCACTGCGGGCTGCGTGGATTTTTATCGTGGTATGGGACGTCGCAGGTCGACCCAGCCTCAAATGGGTACCAGGATGGGCTATCCTGGGAAAGTAAAGACGGCCGGCGTAATGCTGACCACATTACCCATTAAGTGCCGATTGGTCTGTAAAAAATATGGGTGCTCTTCCCATATGCCCGATGCGCCTAAGGGCTTGTAAAGGGATCTTTACTTTTACTTTATACACACATGATTACAAATGTCATATGACCATAGGTTCTAAGAAAGTTAGTTGTGATGGTATTGTATTGTATCAGTATTGGATTGATACCAGTTAGTTGCATGTCCTTTACAGTACGTTGCAGATACAGCCCAGCATTTTTTGGACTGTTTGTGATTTCATGAGGCAATGTTATGTTCAGTGGTTTACCATTGTTTTCTGAATGATCAGTTCTCTATACCACTGTTAAAACCAACTGTGGTCTGCTGCCAAATTGCAGTATGATAAATGGATTATAATTTCACATTAGCTGGCAGTTGTCTGAAACCTGGCATTGGGTTTTAGAGAATTATGCCTGTGTTTATGGAAGCATGTTTCTACATGACTGTTGTATATGACGGTTTTTAATGCACTGCGTCATGTTGATTTGACTCTCAGGAGTTCAAGATGTCAATAAGTATGATGAACCAACAGAAGAGGAGATCATTGCAGCAAACCCTCAGGTACATAAAGGTGGGGCTTGGGCTCCTTCAGACTGTCAGTCCTGGCAAAAAGTTGCCATCATAGTGCCTTACCGGAACCGTCTACAGCCTTTGAGACTGTTGTTGCGGCGCCTGCACCCAATGTTACAAAGACAGAAACTGGATTATAGGATTTTTATTGTTGAGCAGGTAGGAAATTGTTTAACAGAAAGAGTTTAAAAAAAAAAATGTTGTTTGCTTGTTTTAACTATAATATTTTAAGTTGATTTTTGTTTTCTAAAATTTATTTGTATTGAATAAATGGCTGAGTAGTTTGCGTAGTTTTCTGTCTGTTTGGAAGACTCTAGTTCCGAACCTAGTGAGATAATTGTTTTTTTCTTTCTAAGTTAAATAATGTTTGTAAAGGTATCCCGTATCCATTTCTAGTCTTGAGTTTAGGACTAGTATAGTAGTTGCATTCATAAATGATATATTAGATATTTATGTCACATACAAATATATTTTAATTATTTTGAATTAGTTTCACAATGTAAAATTATACTTCTATATATTCTACTTCAGTTTGATATTAGTTTCGTAAAACCAGCTGTTTTTACTGCTTGGATTTACCACTTTTTTTAATGAGCCTGAGGATTTAGGGCTCCATAGTTAGTGGAGTCACCAGGAATATGTTGGAAAAAAAATTAAAAATTTTTTTTTTTTTCTAATCTTTCAACAGGCTGGTGATGGTGAGTTCAACAGAGGAAAACTGTTCAACGTTGGTTACATTGAAGCGGGCAAATTTGCAGATTTTAACTGTTTTGTCTTCCATGATGTTGACCTGCTGCCCGAAGATGACCGGAACTTGTACATGTGTGACAATCATGGTCGGCACCTGGAGACAGCCACAGATGATGTGCGATATCAGTGAGTTCATGAGTTAACTCTCTAACTACCAAACAACATATAATATATGACTGGATATTACTCATGTGCATCAGTCACCAGATTATGTATGTTTGTACATCTTTAATTTAGCAGGGCATGCTGAAGCAACTCCAGCAATACAAATCTCTTTCAGTGTGATGTGCATTTGGTCCCTGTAAAGTAAAGTTCCCTTTTCACGCCTTTCGGCGCATCGGGCATATGGGCAGAGCGTCTCATATTTTTACAGACCATCAGCACTCTGTGGGTAATGTGGTCAGCATTACGCCGGCTGTCTTTACTTTCCCAGGACAGCCCATCCTGGTACCCATTTTAGGCTGGGTCGACCTGCGACGTCCCATACCACGACAAAAATCCACGCAGCCTGCAGTGGGTTTCGATCGCGGTATGCTGGCTTACGAGTCGGACTCGCAACGCCTTAGCCACGGACGTTTTATTGTCATTGTGATTTCCTCAATTGGGCAACACCAGTGATCTAGAGAGACTGAAAGAGTTGAGGTGACAGACTCTTCTACATATGGACAATTACATACAGCTCACTTGGAGACAGCCACAGATAACTGGAGATAAAGACTATTGCCTCAGTAAACCACTTGCATGCTGGCATCATTATCATGGGTTTAAATCTGTGCCAATGTAGATTTTAAAAATTGACCCGGACGGAAATGTCTTGAGAATTAAAGGCAGCCTGTGTAATGTTGACCACTTCAGCCACTCAGGGCCAACTATTGGGGTAGCACCATATACTCAATGTTCAAACAAGTGTTTATCTGACCTTTAAAAAAAAATTTATATCAGCAAACAAATAGAATAATCTGAAAATCTGTGCCTCCGGTACAAAAGTAGGAAGAATGAAATATAAGCAGATTCGATGGCAACTCACTGTTTTTTTTCCCCTCAGGGCCCCATTTTAGGGAAATACTGCCTCACTAACAAGCATGCCATAAAAGTCATCTGATTAGGGATGTTTCCATTGAACTCAGAGTGCATCAGCCTGAGATAAAAGGAACCATCAGTCTGCTCACAAATAAGCCAGATCTGTAAAACGGATATGCATGCAAAACTCCAGTTCTGGAACAAGACCAAAGTCCACAACAACCAGAACTTTCTGCTGGAGTGTGCAGCCAATGAACATGAAGAAGAATACCTAGGGCAACATTGTATACAGAAAGAAGTGACAGAAGAAATGGTTTGAGACATTTTTGTACAGAAAACCATCTCATTATTGGTAACACATTTTTCTGACATGATACCTCAGAGATTGCCCTGGAGAAAGAAAGAAGACAAATGTACTATAATGTGATTGGAATATATTTCCAGTGAATGCTAGAAATACCCAGTATACCCAGGTGCAGAAATAAATGTGGAACTGAATGAATGAATGAGTCAGAAATTGACATCATTGCACTCGGGACATTCGTACAGATGTTCCATCCAATTGTTCAGTTGCCAACAAAAAGTTGACTTGCTAATAGTCTCAGTTGTATGTAACCTGATTGAAAGTCTGCCTATGTTTTCCCCCTCATTGTTGAATACCTTCTAGACTCTCTACTTACATCTCTATTGAATGAAGTGTGTAACTATTCCTGGGAAAACTACACATAATCTTCAGTAAAAAAATAGAACTTGCAATAAGCCTGTGAGTCACAGTAGTCAAGTCACTAGACACTTTGCCTGCCGACCCAAAGGTCTTGGGTTCAGATCCCTACCAAAATGGATTTTTAAAAATTACTCTGGCTTCTAGTTCAACCCAGTCAAAAATGGGTGCCAAGTTAATATCGGGTGAAGTACAGCCACCTACCGTGATGTTACCCACACTACCGTTGAGCGTCATTTGGCACCATATACCTGATGGGCTACTGACATGATCAGAGAGGCTTGACTTTACTTAAAGTGCCTAGTTGTGTGTCTTCTTCTGCCCTCTATCCCCACAGTGGAGCATAGGCTCTCAACTAGCTCATGCTAGATCATTCCATCCTTTGTTATTACTTACAGCTGACCACATGTCCTCCCTGTCTTTTGTACCTTGACTCTCTAGCCTGCCTCCTTTGTGTTTTTTGGTCTGCCTTTATTTCTTTGCCCCTGTGAGTTCCAGTGCATTCTAGTTTTATGGTTCTCAAGTTTTCTTAGCCTGTGTCCTTTCCAACACCAGCATCTTTACTTCACCTCTTGATTCATTGGAGTTAGTTTAGTTCTCATCATTGATTCTATTATAGTTGTTCTCCATGTTTCTGCTCCAAACAGCAGTACGGATTTGACATTAGAATTAACAATTTTAAGTTTAGTTTTATCTTTAATTTCCTTTGACTTTCACACACGTCCTGGAGCTATGAAAACAACTCTTGCCTTTTGTGTTCATATTTTATATTTATGTGTAGAAAACAGTATAACAAAAGATTATTTGATGTCTGATGTCTTAATTTACATGCTTTGGTATATAGTTTCTTGTTTTCTATCCACAGCTTAAAATATTACAACTATGCAGGCGGAGTCATAGCTATCAACTCCAGAAACTTCTTTCGCATTAATGGATTTCCAAATTTGTACTGGGGCTGGGGCAATGAGGATGACGACTTTTCTGCTAGGTCAGTTTTGTTCTTTTTTTTAAACATGGTTGACATTGTGAGTATTCACCATTAGCGTAGCATGTTTTGAACAAACACTTGCACGGCTAAAGCAGAGACAGAGATGATCTCCTCTAGTTTCTACAAGAATGCCACAATAGTACACTACTAGTGTTAGTGGAGTTATGAGTTGGATTATCTTCACAGCACTTCGGACACTTCCATAGGTGCTCAGATGTCCCCTTCGGGGTATTCATCAGTGTCGCATAGTTAAAAGTGCCAGTCCTATGCTGGCTTACAAGACATCTTCTGCATCTGGTGTGCCTCTCATGCTTGGCTGTTCCAATCTTTACTCCCAAGTCTCATATTCCTAGCAGTGATGTGGACACCTTGCATCCAAAATCCTCGGACCATCTTATCTCTCTAAGGGCATTAACAGTGTGTGTGTGATCCATAAGCCGGCCACCTGCAGCTAATACAGAACTTGCCAGTCTATCAGCCGTTTCTTTGCCAACAACATCTGCATGCCCTGGGACAAATATGAACATTACTGCACACACAGGACAGTTTTGCAATTACTCAATCCACTGCGTATGGAGTCTGCCTTGACCGGCCGGCTCATGCTCATAGAATCACTCAGAATCACACACATGTGGGAATAGTCCTGTGATTCTAGCCACACGAAAGTTTGGTCACTGCCATTACCACTGTTGTCACACTGCTGGTGGTGGTGGAGAAGGCACCTCTGGTTTCCTGGACTGTTCTGCCTGCAGAGAGAGCTTTAAATGCTCAGGCAATCTAACATCTTCGTATAACGAACCCTTATGTCTAGATCAGCACATTTGTCTCAACTGATAAGTGTACAGAATTTGGTGTTGACAGCAACGGGATTCTGCTCCTGACAACTCCTTTCAAGCCTAATGATACAGGAGAGGGTACATTACTAGCATGTTGCTTGCAGGCCTAATGATCACAAGTTTGCTTCTGTATCCAGGTAGATTAATAACTAGGTTTTCTTGGTCGTTTCTTTTTCTTTGCCTCCTTTAGTTCTGTTGTGCTTTTCATTATCAAGTTACGAAGAGGCATGGGTGCGAGCCTTGTAATGTGCTACACAGATGTTGGTATATAATGGTCTCAAATATTCCATCTATCCATCGCTTGCATAGTCAGTCTCTAGCTCAGCTTCCGTTATGTCTGAGTGACAGGGCTCTTTGTGCTCCACTATCTGGTGGTAGTCTTGAAACATGGTTCCAACCCAACCTTCCCGATATCATCATTTCTGATTCTGTTTCTTCTTTTAAATTTAGGATTTGCCAAAGACATTTAATTTTTGTTGTTTCCACTTTGTGTGTGGGTCTTTTGTTAATAATGTCCACATTTGTCAATGGTAACACAATGTTGGTACATATCTTGTACTGAATTGTGCTTTTCTATGGTGTCACTTTTTACATGTTTGTGCTGTAAAATTAGTGACATCTGTCCAACAATTTAATTTGCTTTATTACATCTGTGATCTATCCATGCTTCCATTTTTTCATCGATGATATTGTGCTCCCTAGATACTTGAAGTCTTTTGCTTTTGTGATTTTTTTTTTCTGTGCATATCTTGATTGGTTGTTCTGTTCTTGTTAACTTCTGTTGAAAAAAAAAAATTTATTTTCATGTTTTGTGTTTTTGCTGTTGTGTTGAAATTATCCATGTATCTCTGCATCTCTTTCTCTGTAGTCTTGTTCAATTCTGCACTGGCAGAATCTGTCAGCTCATATGTAACACTGCTCATAGTCTTTCATGGAAAGAAATTGGTGATTGCTTTGACTTGATTCATTGCAGTATACTGGGCAGACCAGTTATGTTATGTCTGGTAATATGAGTGCAAAGATCTGTTGCTGCAGTCCTGTGCCTGTAATGTAGATCATTTCTTGATCTAGTATAGTCTGCATGAAACCACAAAATAATCACTAGGTGTCATCTGCTAGCTGTTGCTGATGATACTGAAGATTTTGCTATGGTCCAGGTATTCCGTTTGAATTTGAATCACTCATGAATGTGTATCTGGTCACCTTGTGTTGGACTGCCCTAACAACCAGACCTGGCTAGGAAACGTTTGGTTAAAATCTGCATGTTACAACAAATGTATGCAGCAGCCAGGAGATCTTCGCATCTGTTTTACTATGACCTGTGAGAAGAGCAAAGAGTACCTTCACTGATTTATCACACACAAAAAAAGGAATGTTTGATTGAGAGATGAAAGGAATGTTTGATTGAGAGATGAAAGGAATGTTTCATTGAGAGATGAAAGGAATGTTTCATTGAGAGATGAAAGGAATGTTTCATTGAGAGATGAAAGGAATGTTTCATTGAGAGATGAAGGGAAGAAAAAGAAAGGAGAATCTGTGACTATTTATAATGTTTATTGATAACCTGCAATGATGCCTGACAGTGTATGAAGAGGAAGAGGAGGAAGAACTGTGTCTCAAAATATGAATATGAAAGGTGTAACTTTACATAACTAATAACATGGCTGGCCATTTGTTTTCAGGATAACAGAGTCTGGATTACTGCTGACTCGGCCTCCAGAACTTATTGGCAGATACCAGATGGTTCCACATAGGAAAAACACCAGGTCCTCATCCGGGTCAGTGAGCATTCTCCCCTTGCTTATTGTACTCAAATCTCTTCCTCTCTTTACCTCTCATATCCTTTCTCTTCCAGTAACCCTTCCTTTCTGTGATTATCTTTTCTAGTCTCACTGTGTGTGCCAGGTTGTTTCTTACTATAAACAGTGCTTTAAACACCATCTATCGGTTATCTACTATGTATACAGTAATATTTAATATTCCTTCCTGCAAATATGTAAACTGTTTTTTTTTTTTTTTTTTTTACATTTCTTAGCAAACTTGTTGATTGGTATTTTTTTTTTTAGTAGACACCCAGTGTTTTTTTCCCCCCATTTTTAATTCGTTATCATTGCTGTTATGAGCCAGAAGTATTTTTATATTGTTCAAAGTATAGAGGCTGTTCATCTTGTTAAACTGAACTAGAGTTTTGAAGGCACTATGTCTGACCCCTGTTGGATTCTTTGTGTTATACTGTCTCCACAGTGGAACTTGGCTGCAGCAAACATATACATTTACTGCTGTCTGTGAGCATAATTCTGTGGTGAGACCCAGATATCTTCTAAGGTAAAACTCTGGTAGGCTTGTCCAGGCCATGAGAATGGACTGTTTCTAAAGCAGAAATTAAACCTTGGTGCTGCAAGGATTGTGAAACATGTTCATCAGCCTTTAAGCCACAGAGCTATACTGTACATTAGAAAGAGACAATCTACATTCTTTGGTGATGTGATGAGGAGAAAACTGGAGTACATCAGAAAGCTGAAGGGGAGGAGAGGCAGTGGAAGCCAGAGAGAACAGATGTTGGACAGTTTGACATCATGGCATAGAAGATCATCCATGTCAGAGTTGATTGGAATTACACAAGACAGAAGGTTGTGGATAGACATGACTACCTATGCCACACGGCATGGTCTCGAAGAAGAAGTATTATACATAGTACTGAAGTACTCACAAAGGCTACATATTATATCTTTATATAAAAACATACATATGGGTACAGCTTCTCTGACATATGACAATCTGTATCCTGGAAAGTCGTTGAGATTTGTTTATGTCGACTTGTATTTTATGTGACAGAAATGGCATGTTCTTTGGCTGGCAGAGGCGCTGGCCCACAGATGGATTGAAGGATCCAGTGGGCATGAACTATTCTGTAATACGTATAGACGAGACACCCTTGTATACTAGAATTCTGGTGGACATTGGCAGTCCTCCTGCAGACATGAGTGTCTACACACAACGTCATGAACAGGATATTTCCTTGTGGTGGTGAGTTACACTCATTTTTTTTTAATCCACTTCTGGTTATAGGTCATCCACATCATTTTGTGAGTATACCTAGTCTTCCAGCAAGTAGACCCAATCATCCAGCAAGTGGACCCAATCATTCAGCAGGTAGACTCGATCATTCAACAAGTAGACCCAATCATCCAATAAGTGGACCCAGTCATTCAGCAAGTAAATCCTATCATCCAGTAAGCAAGTAAGCCATCTAGCTGGTAGACTTGATCATACAGCATGTAGATTCAGCCATCCAGCAAGTAGACCCAATCATTCAGCAAGTAGATTCAGCCATCCAGCAGGTAGACTTGATCATCCAGCAAGTAGATCCAGCCATCCAGCAGGTAGACTTGATCATTCAGCAAGTAGATCCAGCCATCCAGCAAGTAGATCCAGCCATCCAGCAAGTAGATCCAGCCATCCAGCAAGTAGATCCAGCCATCCAGCAGGTAGTCTTGATCATCCAGCAAGTAGATCCAGCCATCCAGCAAGTAGATCCAGCCATCCAGCAGGTAGTCTTGATCATTCAGCAAGTAGATCCAGCCATCCAGCAGGTAGACTTGATCATTCAGCAAGTAGATCCAGCCATCCAGCAGGTAGACTTGATCATTCAGCAAGTAGATCCAGCCATCCAGCAGGTAGTCTTGATCATTCAGCAAGTAGATCCAGCCATCCAGCAGGTCCATTCAGCAAGTAGATCCAGCCATCCAGCAGGTAGTCTTGATCATTCAGCAAGTAGATCCAGCCATCCAGCAGGTAGACTTGATCATTCAGCAAGTAGATCCAGCCATCCAGCAAGTAGATCCAGCCATCCAGCAAGTAGATCCAGCCATCCAGCAAGTAGATCCAGCCATCCAGCAGGTAGTCTTGATCATTCAGCAAGTAGATCCAGCCATCCAGCAGGTAGACTTGATCATCCAGCAAGTAGATCCAGCCATCCAGCAAGTAGATCCAGCCATCCAGCAGGTAGTCTTGATCATTCAGCAAGTAGATCCAGCCATCCAGCAGGTAGACTTGATCATCCAGCAAGTAGATCCAGCCATCCAGCAAGTAGATCCAGCCATCCAGCAGGTAGTCTTGATCATTCAGCAAATAGACGCAATCATCCAGCAAGTAAATCCAATCATCCAGCAAGTAGTCTTAGTCATCCAGTAAGTAGACCCTGTCATCTAGCAAGTAGATCCAATCATTCAGCAAGTAGATCCAATCACTTTATGTTGAAGTTACCCAAAATTGATTTCCAGCATTTTCTTGCCTGAGCTTTCATTGTACAAAATGCTAAGATTAACTGACTATATATCTTGATATTCTCTGTCCTTATATATCTTTTTTTTCTGTGTCATCTAGTTTTTTTTCCTTAATCCTTTCCCTCCACTATATTTTTCAGTAGATTGTTGTTTTTGATGCAACCAGAGTACTTTCACCATTTATCAGTATCGTTCTTTTAATCCCTTTAGAAAGAACCTCGTAATATTTGCCCACGACAGTAACACTTCATTGTAAATTTTCCAGTTCTGTTTGTCTTCTGATTTTGTATAAGACTTCCTTTTTGTTTTTCTGTTCAGCTATTTCTTCTGTTCCCAGACGTTGCTAAATAATGCCTGCAGTGATTCAGCTGTTTATATTGACGGTGTTAACTTCTGAGATACTATCTGGACTAGAAGCTTTCCCATCATTTAGTATCTAGTGTTCCCTGTGTGGGGTCCAGGGCCCCTTATGGGGAAAAACAAGAATAGATCCACTGCTTCTCTAACAAGTATGTTGTAAGAGTCTGCTAACTGGAGACTTCCTTCGAAGTCAGAGTGTGTCTGCTTGTGAGGCAAGGAACCAGCACTCTGATTATAAATAAGTAAGATCTGTAAAACGAATGTACATGCAACACTCGGGTTCTGAAACAAGATAATGTCCAGAGGTGGTCAAACAGCTAGAGTTTGAAGCCGGTGGACATGAAGAAGAATTAGAAGTATCTAGTATATGAATGGTTGTATGTTAATTTCAGTAAGATTTCACATCTAATTTTTTTTTTCTGTATAATTATCAAAAGTAAGAGTAACAATTGTCTATTTTTTTCAGGTTTTTAACTTTTTACTACCCATAGCCTGCCATGGTGGCTGTATCTACAGCAAATGGCAACATTTGGCTAGAAAGTAGTCAGAGAATGAGAGTATAAGGTATTCTAGCATGCCAAGGAAGGAGGAGAAGAAAAGCTAATACTGAAGGACTTGAGTGAGACACTTAATGAGGGATGTATAACTTTACCACAGGGTCACTTGTTTGTAATTTTATTTCAGAAACAAAAACAGACCTTTGAAACAAGTGTAGTAAATTAAAACTGATCTAATGTGAGCAGCAGACATATCTAATAAAAATAACAATGTTATGTCGAAATTACAGAATAGTTGCATTTATAGTAAACAACTCGGGACATAAAAGACAAACCATTCCATGTATTTATTTATTGTTGGTGCCTTTTTTTATTTTCCATTCCAGTCGTGATCTTTTGTATACACATGAATGTTACTATGAGCGTTTTAGTGATTCAAAATAATGTTTACTCATTGTAAATGTTAATAATCTAGACCAGAACAAAAGATTGCACAATTTATTGTCTGGCACATTTTACTGTATCTCTGTCATATATATATATATATATATATATATATATACACACACACACACACACACACACACATTACTACAGAGTCACAGCCACATAAAATAAAGCCTTCATTGAAAAACACAGAGTGTATTGTCTAGTTTTGTTGTACATCTTTCCACTGGATATTCAAGATTGGCCACATGATCGCCATTGCACTTTCAGATTTACCACATGATCTTTTTGTTAACATCAAATGGGATTGGTTATAGTAAACTGTATGGCTTTTGCTAGTTTCAGTGAGCTCCTTTTTGATGTGTGTTAAATAAACTTTGGGGGCACTATCTTTATCACCCTTTGTGTACCTAGAAACCAGCAGATGATGTACTAAAGTTGTCTAGAATCTAACCACTGAAAAACCAGCAGAAAAACACATGATAAACAGCTTTTTTTATTCTGTCCTGCAGATGTTGCATAATGCCATCGCCTTGAAACATTAGTTGATGAACATTTGAAGTTTAGCTTCTGACGAGATTTCACAAATATGCCAGGCAAAATATTGTACAGTATATTCTGTTGGTGACTTAACTTCACCACATTTGTATGTCTGCAGGTGTGTGAATGTGTGACTTTCTGCTGGTTTACTTCACCACATTTGTGTGTCTGCAGGTGTGTGAATGTGTGACTTTCTGCTGGTTTACTTCACCACATTTGTGTGTCTGCAGGTGTGTGAATGTGTGACTTTCTGCTGGTTTACTTCACCACATTTGTGTGTCTGCAGGTGTGTGAATGTGTGACTTTCTACTGGTTTACTTCACCACATTTGTATGTCCGCAGGTGTGTGAATGTGTGTCTAGAAGTGGCTGAATGTGTAACTTTTTGTTCTCTTCTTCTCTAAATTTATGTGTCTAGAAGTGGCTGAATGTGTAACTTCTAATATTTTTGCTTCAGTAAATTTATGTGTCTAGAGGTGGCTGAATGCGTAACTTCTAGTTCACTTCTTCACTAAATTTATGTGTCTAGAAGTGGCTGAATGTGTAACTTCTAATTTTTTTGCCTCAGTAAATTTATGTGTCTAGAGGTGACTGAATGCGTAACTACTAGTTCACTTCTTCACTAAATTTATGTGTCTAGAAGTGGCTGAATGTGTAACTTCTAGTTTTGAACTTTAGTAAATTTATATGTCTAGAGGTGGTTGAATGTGAAACTTCTAGTTCTATATTCACCACATTTATGTGTCTAGAAATGGCTGAATGTGAAACTTCTAGTTCAATATTCACCACATTTATGTGTCTAGAAGTGAGTGAATCTGTAACTTATAGTTTCATACTTCAGTACATTATGTGTCTAGAAATGGGTGAGTGTGTAACTTCCTGTTGACATATTTCAGCAACATTTGAATCCATGAGAGTTGAGGGGTTAGTGTATTGATTGACTGCTATAGTGCGATAGTTCAAACCCTCAGATATATGTCCTATGCAGCAAGGGTGAAAAAGCAGAAGAAGAAGATGTAATGTTGTTACTATTATTGATTCAGGAATCCTACCCGCTTATTTTAATTGTTCATGTATGCAGCTGTGAAAATTGAGAATAATTTACTTTTTGTAGAGTATGTTATTTCCTAATTCTGCATGTTGTTATGTAAAAGTACAGGAAGTGGATTTATATTGCAAATTTATTCCAGTGCCATTGATGTTTTATGAGCTGTATAAGCGTAGTTGACTGCTGGCATCAAGATACTGGATGAGGCTTGAGGCTTTAAAAAACGGATCATCATCATGGCACACAGGTAGTAACCAATAAGTGCTCCGTTCTTCTTCTAACACGAATCTGAGCTCCAAGAAGCTCAGCACAGTGCACAGGCTCTGTAGCAACGGCAAGGATCCTGAAATACTTTGGGTAGATTTTAGCTCAAAATTTTTGCCCGGGCAGCGACGTTAGGCTACTCTTTTAAATTTTCAACTGCCAAAGGATTTTTTACATGCGCAACAATGCACACGGGTGTCTGATCTCACTACCAGAGACCAGGAGGAATTACTAGAAGTCCAAATCCACGTGAAAAAATCCCAGTACTTACCGGGAATTGAACCCTAAACCTCTAGCACTCAAGGCGGACACCATGTCTCGAGACTACGCAGCCCCTTCACGATACAGGATTAAAATCCTTATTAAGTCCGGTTTTTATTTTGCGATCTACTGTCCTGTGTTGTATAGGTGGTTGGTGCCATATTGACCCTATTACCTACCCAGGTAATGTCCTGTGTTGTATAGGTGGTTGGTGCCATATTGACCCCATTACCTACCCAGGTAATGTCCTTGTTGTATACCAGTGACCCCATAAAATGTTGTGTAGGTAGTGCCAGGATATTATGTAATGTCCTGTGTTGTATAGGTGGTTAGTGCCATATTGATCCCATTACTTACCCAGGTAATGTCCAGTTTTGTGTAGGTGGTTGGTGCCATATTGACCCCATTACCTACCCAGGTAATGTCCATTACCTACCCAGGTTGTGTTGTATAGGTGGTTGGTGCCCCATTACCTACCCAGGTTGATCCATATGGTTGGTGCCCCCATTACTTACCCAGGTAATGTCCAGTGTTGTATAGGTGGTTGGTGCCATATTGATCCCATTACTTACCCAGGTAATGTCCTGTGTTGTATAGGTGGTTGGTGCCATATTGATGGTACCCAGTGTTGTATACCCAGTTGGTGCCATATTGATGTTACTTACCCAGGTAATGTCCAGTGTTGTGTAGGTGGTTGGTGCCATATTGATAATGTCCAGTGTTGTATACCCCATTACCTACCCAGGTAATGTCCTGTGTTGTATAGGTGGTTGGTGCCATATTGACCCATTACTTACCCAGGTAATGTCCAGTGTTGTGTAGGTGGTTGGTGCCATATTGATCCCATTACTTACCCAGGTAATGTCCAGTGTTGTGTAGGTGGTTGGTGCCATATTGATCCCATTACTTACCCAGGTAATGTCCAGTGTTGTATAGGTGGTTGGTGCCATATTGACCCCATTACCTACCCAGGTAATGTCCAGTGTTATGTAGGTGGTTGGTGCCATATTGATCCCATTACCTGCCCAGGTAATGTCCAGTGTTGTGTAGGTGGTTGGTGCCATATTGACCCCATTACCTACCAGATCCCACGATCAGTCTGTAAAAATACGAGTCCAGCTTCATATGCCTGAGGAGCCAGTGTCATAAAATGGGTCTCCTTTAGTGTTTTTAACTGCTGTATTAGGGAACAGTTGGCCACTTTGTCTTAGCTGTTGCAAATGCCAATTATAATGCAGGAGTCCTGGGTTTGATTCCAGGTGATCTATCAGCAGAACATCTTGTAATTTCAACAGTGGTTTTAAGAATTGGCTATTCAGAAAGCAGTGGCAAACTACTGAATGTAAAGTTTGCCTAGAAATAATAACAGCCAAGAAATGCTGGGTTTGATTGGTTCTGCAGCAGAACATCTCCTGGTATCAAGAAGGATTCAGAAAGCACAAACTAACTGAACGTATTAGGGAACAGCTGCTGGTACAGCAACGCCTGTGAAGGATACACAACTAACTTATTAGGGAACAGCTGCTACAGAATGCAGTACACTCGATTGCTAATAAATTAAAGTTCCACTATGAGAAAACCAGATGAAAACAGAAAACATCAGTCAGCTGAATAGTCTGAATGTTTACATTCATGATACATTCTGGGCAGCACTGTGACATCATAACTAAGAATGCAAGAATTGGGAGTAAACATTGACACAGCCAAGTATGAGAGGCACACAGGCCGTACAGTGTCTTGGCAAACAACATGTGACTGTCACAATTAATGCCGGGCGCTGATGCATATGTTAAAGGGGAAATCTGAGCACCTACGGACATGTCCTGAGTGCCATGAACACAACCTGACTCATAACACAAAGTGTTTTTTTTTATAATAGCAAACCACTGTGTTGATACATTGTTTTCAGTTACACAAAAAAAAAATTAAAGGTTAAAAAGGCACCCTTTTCTGACAGTGAGGCATAGTGGTACCAGCGTTATTTCTTGTTGTTCCCATTCGAGATTCAGTGGTTGATGTTGGCAGTTTCTTGCCAGCCACTTCTATTCCCCAGAAAATTCTACAAGTGACTCCTTTTAATTTTGTTTTGATATATGAAGATGAGTGTCTGCCTGTGTATGTCTTGAGGATTTTAAGTTTTTTAAATAACAGAATGTAAAGAAGCTACAAAAGTATTTAGGCACCAAAAGCAAGAATACATGAACAACATTGTCAGGGATATGGAAGCTAACCATCAAAACAATAAAATCCAGAAAGTTTTTTTTAAAGAATTGAGGGCTGTAAAACAAGGACATCAACAAAACATTTATAGTTTAAAAGATCACAGTGGGAACATGATAAATAATAATGAGGAAATATGTAACAGATGGAAGGAAGACTTTGCTGAATTGTTAAACTGTAAAACCCCACTTAATACTTATCCACATGAAGAGATA